AGCTCCTGCTCTCCAGGACCATTCTGGAGGCTCAGGGCCAAGGAGAGCAGATGGGCTGTTCCCACACTGAGCCCAAATCCCCACTGGATGCCAGATGGCAGCCATCAGTCACACACACAAGAATTTCTTTGTTGTATTGTTTAGTTTGGGGTTTTTTTTGTTATTGTTTTGGGTTTTTTTGTTGTTCAGTAGTTCTAAGGTAATCTAAGTGGTTTATTACAGACTTCAAGAACAGTGTTCAGTATCCTTAGCAGGATTTCAAAGAATATAGGCTGTTTATTATGGTTGTCTGAGCACAAAGCAGATAAAAGTACAGAACTGTCTAGAGCTGTGTAGAAGCAAGCAAACCCAGTATGATGTCACTAGCTCTTCTGAGCTGTTCCTGGCATTAGAAACAAGTTTTTTTTCTTGGAGAAGACTCACTAGTTTTCTGCAAAGGCAAGCCTGAGAACATGGACACTGTGGAAAAATCCAGAGATGAGAACTGAAGAGGGAACTGAGAGGTGACATGGTTTGACACTGCAGGTCTGCTCTTACAGATAAAGTAACTATCCTTATCTCCTTTCCATTCTCTCTGAAATTCTTGTGCACAAGTCTGCAAGTGCCAGGAATACTGGAGCTAGCTTCTTGGCATCTTGTTCCTGTCACAGTGCTGTTCATCCATAATAGATGATCCAGCTGAATTTGTGCTTTTATTTTGATGTAAAAAATAAAAAATTACAAAGAGTAGTGTCAGATATCGTTTATTTGGTCCCCTTATGTTGCCTGTTAACTCAGTTGATTCAACATCCATGTATCACTTCAGATAATCTGGTCCAAGCAGAGATTATATGGGAAAAGAATTTCATTCTTTTTGATTTTCTTGTTGTTGAACCAATTTAGAGCTGCTGATAATTTGATTCAGTGAGAATGTGATCAAGTATGATACACATGTTTTATGTAACTGGATTGATGGAGGGCTATGAAATGTCACCTCTTTGCACCTACTGGCAAGATGGAGTTAATTATAAAGTACTGAGTGTTTCTGATTCCACTGAAGCATTATAAACCAGACATTAATTGTCAAGACTTGAGGGAATCAAAATACCTTGATTGTGACCAGCCTCCCTGAGACCCTGACCTGCCCTCTCTGTCCATGACCCAAAACCCATCTTTTGGCTCAGCCCCTCTTCTTGCAAGAGCTGTGTTGGGAGCAGACCATCTCCTGCCTGCCTGCCTGCCTGCTGGTTTTCATGGCCGGGTCAGTGGAACCCGGCCTGGTTTCATGGCTGGGTCAGTGGAACCCAGCCTGGTTTCATGGCTGGGTCAGTGTCTGCTGCAGCCCTGAGCCCAGCCTTGTCTCCTGCTGTTTCTCACATGCCTTCCCTGACACGCTAGACCTGACTTGGCTCTTCCTCCTCTAATAGAACAATTGTCTAAAGCTCTCATGTTCCCAGCACTGCCTTATTGGCATGCTCTGGGACTGCACCATTGCCAGTGAGGGCTGCCTCTGCCTGTGCTGGGGTTACCCTTGGACCCTGGATGATCTTCCCTCATAGAGCAGCCCAACTCCTGCTGCTCCCTGCCTTTTTCCCATTTTCCCTTGTGCCAATCCAGTATCTGTGACCACTCTGCTTGTTCCTCTTTTGCACTGAAAGAGGCACAGTTGGGTTGAACCTTCTCTGGGAAATCATGTAAGGAAGGGACTTCTTTAAGATTTCTGCAATATTTAAGTGAAAAATCATTAAGTGGTAGTCCTGTTTTGAGAGCTTTCCTCTGCAGCCTGGACTAGCTAACCTTCTTCCAGCAGGCTGCCGGAGACTTGTGTGAGTCCTTTTAAAAGAAGTGGATGTACTTTTAAGACTATTACAGTTAGAGACTATATTAGATTTGTCCAATTAAAATCTCCTGGGAAAGGGCAGGGAGAGACAGAGGTGGACAAGTGCTGCATTTCTTCTTCCTAAAGACTAAGTCACCAAGAGGAAATTCAATGGGAGAAACTGCCTGGAGAGTATTTGTCTCAGAAGAGATACTCATTGTTTCTTTGAAGAAATTAGTGTAATATGAAAAGAGTGCTAGCCTAAAATATGTGTCTATTGCTGACAGCTTTTTATTAACTTTTTTTTTAAGAAAAGAAAAAAAATCACTGATACATAAGGAATTGAGCACTTATTTCCTTTTTTTTTTTTCTTCTTTTTTTCTCCCTCCAGAAGAATGGGAAGGGGCAGAAATAATGTTTTGAAACTTCATTGTGCTCTGATCCGTAAGATTGTTCCCTATCTAGAGCCCCTTTAAAGAATTCATATTGTATAGTTTTTTATTTATTCTGGATTAGAGAAGTGCTGTTTTTACTTCCCTGCTTCCTTCTTGCTTTCCCCTCCTTGTTCCAGGATGGTGATATGGTATCTGGAGGTGATATGGTATCTGTGGCATAAGATATTTTGTTTAAAATAACATGCAAAATCAGTCAGTGTTTAATAACCTCTCATTGACGTTATTATAAAGCAGAGCAATAGGGCTCAGGAGCTCAGTCCCTGGGTAGGGACTGGGTGCCTGAAGCTAGCTCGCTCATGCCAAGGCCGCAGGGCTACCATCCAGCAAGCATGGTGATTATCAGCTCTATAGTGATTGCAAGCTCTTAGGATTTCAGCTCTGCTTGCTAGGTAGTGGTGCCCTGGGCTTGAGGCTGCAGCAGACGGAGAGAGAGGAGAAGGAGAAGGCGCAGGCTGTTCCATGGAGATGGCTTTATTTGGGGAGGTCCGTGAAGGGTCTCTGCTCTTCTTCTTTCTCAATTAATGGGGTACAGTATGCTTCTTTTATAGGGTGGGAAAGGATCCAAGCTTGACCAATGGGTAAGGGGTTAACATGACATTGCCTTATAGGGTTACAGAGATAGGTTAAGGGCGGAGGACAGGGAAACAGGAATTTTCTTTTGCTGTTTCAGCATTCCTATTGTTCATATTCTCCATGGTGCTTTTCCTAAATCTATGGGGTTTACTACAAGTGTTTTATATAAATTATAGAAAAATAATAATATCTCCTTGCAAATAGCTTGAACCAAAAGTTAATTTTTCCAAAACAAGGAAACGTAAATTGAGTCATTGGAGTAAGAATCATGGGGGAATGAAAGCTAGATGGTGATTTGAGGAATAGATTTAATTGCATAAATCTCTGAGACATATTTACACATCTAAGACAATCTGTTAGTCCCCATTGACATCCTGGTAAATACAGTGGTGATTCTGCCTGCAGTTGCTCTATTTTCAGTTTATTTGGCTTATTGGGTAGATAGCAGTGAGTAGCTCAGTGCATGTAGGCATATTCTGCCTTTACATTGCTGCTGTCATATGTATAGTATTTAAACTCCTTCTAAGCTGTGTTTAATACTGATATTATTATTGTGCTGTTGTGTGGGTTTTTTTTCTCTGCTGTCCTTATTTCCAGTAATTTTAAGCTAGGAATGAGTAGAGACACCATATTTGCAGTTTTCTACCCCTTAGCTCACTTTAGATTGAGTAACTATTGACTCCAGACAGAAGTAAAAATTTCATAAATCAGCACTGGAAAAATAGTGCATTCAAATCAACATAAGATCTGAATTCCTCCATGATTTAGAGATCCCTAAAGTTACACAGCAACAATGTTTCATTTTCTGTCTTCACTTGGCCATGTAGTACAGCTATTTTTCATTTGAGGAAAAGAAGCCCTAAGTGAGAACTAAATGCTAAGGACTTCTTTTTTTGTGTGTCTCAGTAAATGTGCCAATGCAGGCAGCAGGATTGATGTGGTAATTGCTCTGTTTGGTGCAGATACTGATGCTGTACCAGTAGCATCCTTTCTGATACTGAAATCATGTGAATGGAACTGCTCTGAGGGGTGAGGGCAGTGAGGGCTGGTCTCTGTAGACCTTGACTTTGTACCTGCTAGATTTACAGCTCTGTGTTGTGCACTGGGCACTTCTGGGTGCTGTTAAACAGGGGACAGTTATCGCCGGTCGGGGGTGTATGTACAAATCATCAACAGGACAGGACTGCTGGGAACGTGCCTTGAACTGTTTGATTTTTCAGCATCAGTCTCATTACATGGTTAATACAATGGGAAGATGCCAGCAGCTCACATCCCAGGCAGCAGACCAAGAATTTAATGTTACAACTTACTTTATAAGTTTTTTGACTAATCACACAAAGCAAAAGCATACTGACAGTATTTCTATTTAACTATTATAAGCACACGTACTTTTGGTTAAAACAATGCTTGCTTATTTCGAATACAATACTTACTTGTAAGCTTTAAAACACAATGCACAGAGCTTTATTATTAAGCTTTAAACTTCTTCATATCTTGCTAGATAAACTTTTCTGTAATTTAGAGAGTTATTCTAGACAAGCGTTAATACACATACTATTGTTTTATTTGTCTTTGCTTTTCGACAGTTTAAATAATTTTTCTGCTGACCTATTTCATAGCTGCTGCTTAGCTCTAATCACAGTTCTACTGCTTCTGAGGCTTGCTTTTTGCAGCTTTCTCAAAACTCTCTAATTTTGTGGATTCTTACAAGAGTGACCTTTCTGAAGTGTTTGTAGTCTTTGGGCCTCAAGACCCACACCTTTACACTATGATTTCCCCCTAACATAGAACTGAAAGTAATTCATCCTTAATTGTGAGAAAGTTCAGCTCCTAGTTTAAAGTCTGTCTTTATAATATTTTCTTTTTTTATTTTAATTCAGTGAACTGGACCAAACACTAAATCCAAAGCCTATAGTTACTAATATTCCTAAGAAGTAGGAATGTTGGTTCAGCTCTCAACTTCATTGTGTGGACTTTTGGAAAGACTTTTTGGTTGAGAACTTCATGCTGTTAAATTCACTTTTCATGCTTCTCTGCTTGGAATTCTTTAATGGCCAAGGAAATAAGTTGGTGGGAGTTACCCATCTATGCAAAACTTGCATAGTGATTTCATAATACTTAAGTATTATGATAGCGTGTATCATTTAGCTAAATAAAGAATTCCTGTTTTTCAGACCTTACCAGTTCGGAAAATTCCATGCAAAGCCAATGCTCCTTCAGGGTCTTTTTTCGCACGGGACAACACAGCAAATTTCTTATCCTGGTGCAGAGATGTAGGTGTGGATGATACCTGCCTGTTTGAATCAGAAGGTTTGGGTATGTATTTCTTTATTCTTTATGTAGTAGTTGGTAATTTAAAATAGCTTTTCCTTTGTGTTTAGCCTTGAAAGACAGAAAGGCTTTTAATAGGTCCCGATTCTAAATCTGACCTTTGTTTGACTGTGTTAATTCTGCTGTTGCCTGTAGAATGAACAAATGAAGTACACATCACATACTACTCATTTAAGTCAATTTTAAGAGGAACTTAAATGAGAGAAAACTCTTGCTATGTTTTCATGCACACAAATATTTCACCCCACACATACTTCTGTGAGCATGGAATGCTGCTCCTTAGTTCAGTGTATAAGATGGTGCTTTTCTGTTTGGGAGAGCAGGATACAAGTGCATGCACAGTTCTGTCTGCAGACATTTGGCTGGTTGTGGGATTTAATGAATTGCACAGGAGGCGAGAAGATAAAGAACTTTGCTGTTTCCCATGCTGACCATTTTTCCCAGCTGGTTCCCTTGTGCAGTTCTGGACAAAAATTATCCAATACTGCTGCTTCATGGTGTTTTGTAAAAAGAATTGTACTGCTCAGGAAATCGCTGCTCTAATACTACATAGTCTTCGTTGGTTTAACTATTCTTTCTTTGAAGGAAATCTTATGAATCTTGACTTCACAGTTTTTCAGCCAAATCTCATGAAATTAAGAGAGTCCAATGTTTGTTATCTGAAATCAGATAAAAGTGTAAACCAGTCATGGTGACAGATCAATTTCTCTGGAAGACAAATGAACACACTGTGCTGAAACTTCTTTGTTCTGTTGCTCAAAAAGCTTTTGCCCTGTTGAAGCTCTTACATGTGTTGTGACTGATCTAATCCCATTCTTTTACAGTCTTGTTCTGCTTCTGTAGTCTAGCACAGATATTTCTGAGAGAGTTTTTCTTTTTCATTTGTCTGTTCTTTTATCCTGGGAAGTTTTTTAATTACATTATTTTATATGTCTGGGAGAAAATGCTTGGCAGAGGACAGGTTAATATCTCAAAGGTGACAAATAGTAAGTTGAATATATGTATTGACTCTGTTTTGTTAATTAAATCTTTAAGATGAAATTCTTGTTTGATATGGTAAATCATGTGGGAGATGAACAATAATTGTAGTTTCAATGATTTGAAATGGTGAACAAGTTGGACATTTATCTAGGACCAAGAAGCTTGTAAGCACCAGGAGATGCAGACCTCCAATGCCTGAGACAGGCAGAGGAACCTCCGGTTAATGGAATACTTCAAGGTATTTGAAGGTTGTATTGCTATGGCAAGCCCAGCCATTTGCTGTTGTTCCACAAATCTGTTGTGCATTTTTAAGAAACTAGATCTTGCTTAGAGATGGAATTGGCATAGATGGAATATGGATATTTCCTGATAATTAATTTTCACACATACATAGTGCCTTGCCTGCCATAGGAAAGCAGAGTGCAAATCCACCTGGAAAGGTATGTTCCAGAGGACTTCCTCTCTCAGAAAATGGAAGTGAAATATGACTGAGTGTGCAAACCTGTGGTCTATTTTGCTTGATTATTGACTGATTTTCTTCACTGATTAAAAACTTGGTTCTGAGGTTTATTCCCTTATTGAATAATGTACTACTAGAAAAGATTTATGTTGCTTGAAATAGGATTAGGCCTTGATAACATTTTGGACCCATTTTTCTGAACTTGAGAAGGAGGTGGTAATCATGTCTTTAAAAAAAAAAGATAAAACCAGTAGCTGTTATTCTCCTTCAGTTAATCATTAACTTGAAGTTTTGCTTTTTTGAGATTTTCCTAATGCATTAGAAATAATGATAAATCTTAACAGTTGCCAATCTAAAGCTTTTATATTCCTCTCTCTCCCACAAATCACTTCACCAATGCATAGGAAGCAAAAATTCAGCAAAGGTAAGTAATATCCAAGGTTCTTTTCAAAGTAGTGAGAAATGTGTGTGAATGACACCTGTCTTTGCACTGCCTCATTGAATTCTGCAATTTTTGTTAATAATTGTGGTGAAATTATGGTTACAGAGGTAACTGGTTTTGTATTTTTTTCTATTTCTCCCACAGCTAATAAGCTCAGTAAATTGGTGTGTAAATTGATAGTGATAATCCAGCTTTTTTCTGTCTCTATTGGAGAACCTTATTGTATCAATGTTCTCAATTGAGTGGATTTTTATCCTCATTTTTTTACTCTTATTCTGTGTGCTTGATGGTATGGAAATACTGTGTTATTTAATTAAGGGCACATAGTAATATTTTCATCATGCTACTGTATCATATAAAACATTCCTGAGGTTTTTTTCTGGCAAATATGTATTCTAGAATTACAAGAGTGATTTTGAAGATCTAGTGCACTGAAATACTTGAATGATGGATTTATGGCACTGACTTAAAAAAAAGGACCAAGCGTGTTAGAGATCAACAAAATGAACTCTCTACTGGCTAAGAAATTGTTAATTGCTATTATTTCTCATTACTTAAAAATACTATATCTCATTGTTATAAATTCTGAAGAAGTCTCTGAAATCATGCAAGTATAACTGCACACAAATGCAGCCATCACTCCTAACTTCTTAGCATTGAGGCTCAAGTGGCACAAAGGCATTTCTCACTGGGATGGAGCTGTCTCAAATAGAGACCAGAGCAGATAGGGGCAGTCCTGCTGAGCCTGCAGGTAAGTGATGTTAGTGGGAATCTTGAGTGTTCTTAGAGGCTGATCTGCAAAGGGTTAACATTGCAGGGCTGATCCACACAAGCAGATGCAGCAGACCTATTCATGTCATTTTATTCCTGTCCTTTACTTGTGGACTAATTTAGCAATTTATGCTTTGTTGGATTTGGGCTATTCAGCTGAGCTAAACAAGGAAACAAGATTGAAGTATTCAAAATAAATAGAAGGAAAAGTAAATAGAATGAAAAACAGAGGTGCTTGATATGCTAGTAGATATGATTATACTGTCTAATCACTAGTTACTTTAAATATCATTGGAAGAGAACAGCAGAGAGCTCAAAAGTTTGAAGACTTGTACTGCTAATTTGTTAATAATTTATAATATGATGTAGTTTGTCTTGCTGAATGTTATCATGTTTTAGCATAGGCTAAAATGCAAAAAAATTTGAAACAGTTTCCTGTTAAGATTTGTAACACAGCCAGAGCTGACTGGTGGCAATTTATCCCTAAGTGCAGAGACATAGCAGGAAAGTCTCCGAGTTAATGCCTTTGCAAAGAAAAGGTGGCTGGGGTAGCTGATGCCTTTGCAGCTCACACATGAGCATCTGTAAAAATTATAGCAACACAGTAGGTAGGGATAACAAAAATGAATAAATTTCAAAAATTGCTAAAAATAGCAACACAGGACATAGGGATAATAAAAATAAATAAATTTTTAAAATTGCTAAAAATAGCAACACAGGACGTAGGGATAATAAAAATAAATAAATTTCAAAAATTGCTAAAAATAGCAACACAGGGTGTAGGGAAAATAAAAAAAAATTTTAAAAAATTTGCTAAAAATAGCAACACAGTAGGTAGGGGTAATCTGGAGTGCTGCAAAATAGAGGGACACCATGTGTGCTCCCTGCAATCATTGCCAAATTTAGCATGCTTGTCATATTTTTTTACTTTTAAAATTAGTGTATTTAAAGGAGAAGGAATTAGCTTTGATAATACCAAAAATTATGATCCAAAATCCAAATTTTGGTCATCTGTGCAAATCTTGAGGTATAGTGTCGTTGAATGGTCTTCTTAGATGTATCAGACTATGTGGGACTCTGAATATGATGTGCTAACTCTCTCATGCAGTGTAAAGATGTTAATACTGCCTTTAACTCCTCTGTTCCCATAAATATACTTTGTAAATTCCCCTGTAGGGCTTTAGGGCAGCAGATCCCCACAGCTCTGGTAACTTTCTTTATGGAAGCACACTAGGTGGAGATAGTTGTAATTTTCCTCATGCCTGAAGAGTATAATACTCAAAGAAAACTCTTCTTGGACAAATAAGAATGGTAAGATTTTCTGTGATTGTTCAGTGAACAGAAGGCATAAATTCTGAACTCTTTGTGGTAATGGAGTGTTGTTGGATGATTATAGGATTTGGAACCAGTGAATATTCTGCATCTCTTCCATGATAAAGAATACCCAGCAAGAAAAGGGTTTGCCACTGAGTATGCCAGCATGCTGATGTGTCATCTGTTTTGGGAGGTGTTGGATGCTGTTGATGTTAATGTTTTGTGCTTGTATATTCTATGCATATGTACACACAGGATGTGACATAGACTTCTTTTGATGCAACTGATTGATTTGAGTTTCATGGACAGGTTTCCTAAATAAATGCATTTAGTATTTTAGTGGAAATAGTAAACTGAACCACAAACACCTCTGATCTCTCTTCTAACATTGTTGGTTTAAAGGTTATTTTGAAAAAAACTCTAATGTTGCTTGCTTAAAAATATGTTATACATGGGGAAGATTATTTTTTAAATTATTAATGTCGTTTATCTGATTTCAAGATGGAAGTTTTTTTCTGTTCTTTTATACTGAAACATTTACATATTGCAAAACTATGTTAAAATTTACTTGAAGTTGCATCAGAATAAGCCTTTTCCCATCTTTCGGAACTCTTTACTAAACTACTCATAATATTACTGAATACATCTCATTTTGAGGACTATAGAAGCATCCTAGACTCTTTGTTGTTACCACTGGATTTGCATGTTAAACTAATGAATTTCAGTAAATTATTAGTGTTCAAATGATCTCTATATCCCCTCTACATTAATTCTTTACTATCCTTGGATCTAGTAGGTTTGACACCTGAATTGTTTTGAGATTTCCATGAGTGATTGAGCTGAAATGGGGCAGGGAGTATAGGGGAAGCACAGGTGTGTCAGAGCATAACTCTGATGCAGAAGCAAGGGTAAGTTTGTTATAATTTAATAGAGTGTTGACAAAACAATATTGGAGGTTTTTTAAGAACAAAAAAGCCTTCTTTTTTGGATCAGAGTAAATATTAAAGGAAAATGTGAGAGACGATAGGAAGAAGGACCAAAGGACCATCCTTTTGGAAAACTTTCCCTAAACTAGTGTGAGTTCTGATGGCAATTGGAAGCCTGTGATAATAAATGCTAAGGCACTTGGTAAAACTCTTTGCTTCTAGTGGGATAAGGAATGCATTAGAAACAGAAATCATATTTACGTTTTGTGATTCAGCTATTCCTGATATCTTAACCTCTAAAACAAAAAAAAATTATGTTAGAAGGAAGAATGACTTCATTAAAAATGGTTTATAAAAGTGTTAGGAGCCAAGATTTGAAACTTGGCAGGAAGTTGTGAGAAGTTTATTTTTGTATTGGATATTCCGTATTTATTTCTGTGATTGGATATTCTACTAATTTAAAACAAACACGAAGCCACAAACAAAACAAAACCCCTGAATGTTATTGCAAACTTTCAGTTTAAAGCTGGTCAGTAAAGACATGGACTCCAAGTGCATTGTGTGTTCTGTCTCCTCACAGTCACAGGTTCTGATAATGCTGGAAGCAGAGGCTGCTCCTCCTCTGCTTCTCCTGGTGGTATCCAGGCACTGTCAGAGCCCAGGACATTGCTCTGGCTGCCCTGGGTGACTCGAGACCCTGGCAGGGGGCTCAGAGAGAGCTTGGCACAGAGTCAAAAACACCTAGCCCATGGAAACAATTACCAACTTTGTGTGAGGAGTTACAAGCCACAAGGGTTTGAGTAGAATGATAGTGAATTTGTCATAGGGTGAAAAAGTAGAATTTTGGGGTTTTTAGAATGGGGGTTCAAGAGGCAAGATGGAGGAATCTAGGCATGTCCTGTCTTTCTCCTTCTTCTTGTCTTCCGTCTTCTGCTGTGATGGTGACACTTCTGGATTGGTTTAGGGTAGAGACAGACTGTCTAACATAGGTGACAAGTGTTGGAAAATTATTGTAAATAAAGCACACGTAGTTCTTAGTATAAAAAGCTAACACCACCCCAAGGTGGACTGTGCCACAACCCAACCTGCTGGACAGATCTCAGCAGGTCAGAGAAGGAATGGAATAGATGAGAGAAAATAAACAACCTTGAAAAGCAGAGCTGAGGAATCCTGACTTCTTCTTCGGTCACGGGGCTGGGAAAAAAGAGACTTTTTAATACCTTGGGAGCCATTTCAGCAACAGAAACCCGAGAAGGTAAGGACCTCTGGGGAAGCACAAAGGTTGAGTGAGCAAAAGAGGAGTACCTGTAAAAAGAGAATGAGACAGCAACAAGATGTGAGCAGTGTGAAGAAATGTTATTGCTAGAGAGAAGCAAGGATAAAAACTTCCAGGAACTGAAAAGGAATTATTGTTAGCAAAGAGTGGCTGGAGATAACATGTAAAGATGCAGGCAATGAGGACAGCAAACAAGCATTTAAAGAGATGAGATGAAAAGCAAAAAGGCAGGACACCTAAAATAAGCCAGACTTGTTTGCACTAATTCTCTATCTTCCCATTGCACTCTTGTCAAGCAAATGCCATCAGTGAGATTCTCTAGAAAGATGGATATTTCCATTCATTTTATGCAGGGGATCTGCAAAAAATGACATTTATTGGTCTCTGAATGAGACACAGAATGAAATACATATGCTGTATAGTCCTCAGGAATGCTGTTATTTTCTCTTTAGAAGCACTGTCTTATGAGATCACCTGGTGTTTGTTTTTGTGGCTGGTTATTGCCTGCACACATCTTCATCCTCTAACAATGATGTCACTGTGCCACATTGTTCAGCATGAAATGCATGAAATGTGTCTAGATTATGTTGATTCAGACTTGCTAAAGGTCTATGGAATTTGTTTGGGTACATAATTTTTTAACTTTTTAAATCAAATTTTCTTCTAGCTATATTTATGGATCTTTTTGCAAATAGTGGTGGTTGAACCTCTGTTTTTCTTCCATTCCAAAGTCATTCAGATGTACATACATATGAATTGCAATTTACTTGGTTTGACTATTCCAAACCGAGTTTATTCTATTTATATTTTGGGGTATGTCTTCCTTTTTAAAATCAAGTTTTATTTTGGGGCTGTCACAACCAGTTTAAAACCCAAATAGCAGAATAGACTTCCAAGGGTCATGAATGTAACACTTTAAAAATACTGATTACTAGTAAAGGTAAATATTTAATGTAATTACTATGTTGTGGGAAGGAAGAATATTGAAAATAGCTGAATGTCCCAGTGTTCATCATTTATATTCTTAGTAACAGATGGCTGAAGAATAAATATATTTTTCCTAGTGCAGTGCCTGTTTAGTTTTCATGCTCTGCAGTTTCACTTCTGGAAGTATATTTGGATGAGATTGCATGTCTCTCAAAAACAAATGCATACCTCTCAAAAGGCTGCACAGGCACTAGGGAAAGATGTTGGGATGAGCATTCAGCTCACCCCACTTACACTTATCCTGTCAGTGGAGCTCAAGTTGAAGCCCCAGAGGCTGGAGGTCTGCCCTGGGGCATTGGTTACCCAGAGGTGTTCAAGGCTCTGGAGTTCCCTTTTGGCTCTCATAGATACACAGAACAAAGTGATTGCTTTCAGAGCTTTAACTAGACATTAAAATATCTTTTTCAGGTATGGTATTTTTTCTTCATGCATTTGAGTTAGGTGAGTCTTTAGATTACCAAAAGTTTATATAGCTGTTGTCTTGACCTTAACTCATTAAAAACAAATTTATTTGTACACTGTTCAGGTTTTGTCCAATTTATACAAAGAGTCACACAATTACTTTTTGGTCTCAATCCAATCTGAAATTGTACAATTTTTTTTAATATTGTGGAAATTTTAAAACCTGACTTTTTACTCACAACAACATAAGGGCTTTACTCTAGTAGGTATTTCTAAAGAGTAGATTACAATGTACTCATAATTACTATCTTCTCTTTTCTTCTGTTTTTCTTTTCTTCTTGAAGTTTTGGGGAGTTGATCATGCAAACAGCCACAGACCTTCCTTGGTTTATTGATTTTGGATTTGCTGAACTTCTTTACAGAACATTACCTATTCTGAATTGTGGAGGAAAAAAAATGTATTGTTTTATGGGGGTATTTCATAATTGTTATAACTTGTCCCTGAAGGCAAGGGTGACTGAGGTTCTTGCTAACAGATTCCTTTGGGCAGGTGAGAGTGAAACCACACTGAGTGACTAGTGTTTTTATATATATATATATATGTATGTATGTATATATGTATATATATGGCAGGTTTATTTTAGATCAGTTTGGCTGCAATGGAAAGGAGGTATGAAGCCATTTTGGCTATTATCATCTATAGAAATGCAGCAAAGTATGAAGATACCACTTAAGAAAATATAGAGGGAAAAGAGAGAAAGGATGAGAACAGAGAGTGAAGTGAGACTTAATTGTTGCAGTTTCAATGTCTCTTGTTTAAAGTGATGTTGAGAGTGGGGTAAGCCCGTGGAACACCAGTTCATTGGGATAAAATACAGTCAGGTTCAGGTGACAGCACCCAAGGTGCCATCCCTGATGCAAGGGTGATCCAACACTGTGGCGGAAAGCCTCAGGAATTCGTCTGGGCACGTTTTGGGGGACTTTGGTTGTGACACCTGAAGCAGGGCAGATGCCTGTCACACCAGCGTGGCTGAGCCAGCTGTGCCCCATCAGAAGGGAGGGATGCCTGCAGGCCCATGGGAGTGTTCCAGTCCCTTCCATGGAGGGGAGATTTACACCTGAGCCAGTTCTGTAAGGGACCTTGCCATGATAAAAAGCACTGTTCCACTTGGCAGAATCTGCTTCTTATGAGTCTTTTCCCTTATTTAGCTCAAAACCCAGCTTGTTGCTAAACAGAAGTTGGTTTGTCATGGTGGGTGCACAGCACCTCTGTGCCTGGACTGCTCTTACACAGCTGAGATATTTCACCCCCACACACCCAAAAAATCTCCCCTTCTCTTTCCAGTCAGGAGTGCAAACCTGGCCTCAGCAAAGCACCTGCTGCTTTTGCAAATGGATGGTTGGGACATTAACCCCTGACATTGCAATCTCTCACAAAAATGAGAAGATCATGCTGTGTCACAGCTACTGAGTCATAAAAAAACTATTCTGTGTGGAATCCAGGCATGCAGACTTACATAATATGTATGTATGCATAAAGAAGAAACTCTTTTTTGAGTTTCTTCTTTATGGGATTTTCATACTGTGAAGAACTGATTCCTAAAGCATTCTAGTTTCATATTTACTGTAAGAATAGATGTGAAAAAAAAATTCAGGACCAAATTTATAGTGAGGTATGTCTTTGTTAATGCAACTTTGTTATTTTTGAAAATAAAATTGGCTAAGAAAAATAGTGAACTAAAAGATATTAATTTTCTTAGTTTGTGAAACAAAAAGTATCACTCTAATTTTATTATTTTTGACTTTCTACTCATTAAAGTGTTTTCAATATGCCAGAGCTCTTGATTATTTTTAAATAGTAATGACTTGCTTGCAGATTACCAATTACCCCAAATAATTATTCAATGATTTAGCTAATTAAATGGAGCTTCTGAACTCTGAGAAACACTCATGAATCTCATCCTTTTTATTCCAATAAAACTCTACTGCAAGCCAAAGAAAACAAACGTTCATCAGAGTCAAGAGTAACAGATGTTGATGATTAGGTTCCATTCCATCACTAAGATCTTTAAAATAGCTTTTATTTATCAATGTTTTCCACATTCATTTTGCTTTTCTAGTACTCCACAAGCAGCCAAGAGAAGTGTGCCTTTGTTTGCTGGAACTTGGAAGAATTGCAGCAAGGTAGGTGAAAATATTCAAAGACTTGAAAAATTTGCATTCTTGACCGCAGGGGCTATTGACAGACATATTAAATCAGCACATCTCAAGATGACTTTTGTGCTCATTAGGTTCAAATAGAATGTTTGTCTTGATGTCACTCTTGAAGGCAGTTGTTAGCAAATATTTCAAAATATCTGTACCTCAATGAAGATATTTGTAGGCTATCCTTCTGTTAGGAGAGGAGGGTTTTTTTTTTTCTATAAAGCTTTGAGCCATTTCTCCTTCTAAAGTCAGATCTCTCTATAAACAACTGCAATTTAATGAAGTTTACTGGTAATAAGGTGATCTTCACTTGATCTAAATCTGACCAAGATGATTTTAGCTGTGCTGGACCTTCAGTACATTGTAATGTTATCTTTGACATCAAGACAAGGACTTTTGCTAAGCAATCAAAATTACAGTAACTAGAATGTGATTTCCCCCCTTTTTGCAGATGTAGATTTAACAAGCATAGTGCATAAGATTTACTGAAAAATACATGAGCAGCAGCACTGCTGCCCAGTCTTGCATGTAAATTGCAGTTGCATTCACTGATGTGTGTAAAGTTGCAGTACCTTGCTATTCAGATAGTTTCATTAATTTCAGAAGAATTCCTTGTGGTAACAATCAAGGTGAGGGAGACCCTTGTTTATTCCTAGTTTAAGAACTAGTATTGGCAAAGTTGCATCATGTGTATTCCTATTTTGTGAATGAACTCATAATGAAAACTAGAAATTTGTCTCATGGTCCAGTTTCAGAAAAACTCTTGCTGTCAGTGGAAGCTTGCATAGGAACAGCAATGATCAAAAAATAATGATTTCAGGTTTTCACTTATTTTGTTATCTCTAGAACTTGTGTTCAAATGGCAAATTGTTTTAATTTCCCACAAAGAAGAAAGTATTTTGATCTGCAGGTGCATAATGAAATTAAAATTAATAAGTCTTAATTTACCTGAGCAAACAAACTGTGCTTTCAAGACCAGCTTGGAGATAGACCTGCCAGCACCCAAAGGCCTTTTGCCTGGGGCAGAACTGTCAAGGGTATCTGCCCTAGTTGGTTACTTTATAGTACCCAACTTCTCGGGTAGTGCATGGTTGTGGTTAGGCAGTGTTGGATTCTGCTAAGCTTGGTTGAGTTAGATTAATCTCATTTTTCAGTGAGATTTGATGTCTCAATAGATCTACAAGGGAATGAAAATAGAATCTTATCCTTATATTTGTCTTAAGTTCCCATGTCTCAGATGCTTTCTGTTCCAGACATGGAAAGAAGTACTGAACAAATAAATAAGCCATGCTTTCATTTATTATGCATATCTATCCATTTACCTTTAAAATATTTGTATTGTATTTTTTATTTATAATGCATGAATATTTTACCATATATCATTAGTTATTATTTTATATATTGTATTTCTGTTTCTGTATTTCTGTTTCTTCATTTTAATTTTATTTATAGCTTAGGGGTCAAACAACATGTCTGTCTACTTTTCCCTGCTCTACTATCTCTTCAAAACCAAACCAATCCCCATTTTTAATCTTGTACACTTCCAAGGTACACAAAAACTGAACTGGAATGTCAGGTTAATAGAATTTAAAACCAAATATATGATGCCTGTTTTGCCTGAGTCTGGTAAACTAGAACTGTATGGGAAAGGAGAATTGATAATTGCCTTCTTTAAGTGCAGGAAAGAGCACATTAAAGGGAGGTTGTTGTGCTGCTTTAAACAAGACAGAAGTCAGATGGATGCTTTGTAGAGCAAGCTGGGTCTGTTGGCTGTGGTGGTGTTCGCAGGGGTCCCAGGACGAAGGAAGAGATGAGAATCTTGACTCCATGTTTCAGAAGGCTGATTTATTTTTTTATGATATATATTATATTAAAAGAAAATTATATATTAGAACTGTACTAAAGAATGGAAGAAAGGATTAATCAGAAGACTTGAAAAGAGTAGAAAAGAATGGAATGGTAATAAAATCTTGTGACTGCTCAGAAAGTCTGAGACAGCTGGACTGTGATTAGCCATTAATTAAAAACAACCACATGAAACTAATCAAAGATGCACCTGTTGCATTCCACAGCAGCAGATAATTATTGTTTACATTTCATTTCTGAGGCTTCTCAGGAGAAAAATCCTAGCACAAAGATTTGTCATAAAATATGTCTGTGACAGTTGGCAGTCTTAGGGATCTGCTTTCCAGAACAGGAGCTGTGGAGATCTTTGAGAAAAGTGCCTCAGTCTGTTTTTAAAGAACAAAAAGTGTCAGAGATACTGAGTAATTTTAGAAGCAGAAAGATATGTTCAAAGTGGCCTACTCATCATGAGGACTCAGCTTTTGGCACACTTTGCCCAGCTAGGTTACTGTTAGTCCTCAGCTCTCTAACTCCCCAAAGTCAACCTAAGCTTGTTTATTTAATGCAAAAGAACTTGTGATTGAGGCACAAGTGAGAAAGAATGAGGATTGCTTGAGGAGGAGTTACATTGAGCTCTGTTCTGCTGAACTTGAACTTGTATTCAAAAGATACTCTCTGGAGGAGGGGAGACAGGTGATAATTTACCTTTGCTTTAGCAATGCTTTTAGCATGTTATCTCACAGTGTCCTCTCAGACAAATCAGGGAAAGATGGTCTTGATGGATGGACTGCACAGTGAGTAGGAAACTGGTGTGACCACTTGGCTCAAAAGAGTGGCAGTTCAAAGATATTAATAAAGATACAGTTGCCTGATAAATTATCCTGAATTTCAGCTTTTTATGAAAACAAAGTTCTGAGATTGTCTGCAAAACATCAATAGTTAAAATGAGGCCTTGTGTCACTGGCAGATGTTATGTGGATACAGTGAGATTTATGAGGGAGGGAAGTGTCCTACAGGGTGGATTTGACCTCTGAAAATGTACAGGTCCAACATTCTCCTAAGTGTTTGAAAGGCAGAGATTATACAATGGAAAACAGCTAAATTATTTTTTCTGCACAAAGGATGAAGTTCTTGGGTTACTGTTAAACTCTGCAGAGTTAAACAACACTCACAGGTCTTTTGGAATTACTGTTGAGCAATTTCAAGGTCTTTCTGCTATTGTATTCAATTTTTCTTTGATAAAAATGGAAAGTGGTGCTCTAAGAAGACTAACAGAGATCATGTTACAGTGCACTGCTGCTTCACGTGGAGTTGTGAGAAGCCAGGCTAGAAAGGAGCAGAAAAGGAAATGCTCAGCATACCTTCCTGGAATTTGCACCTCTACGCCTCTCAGAAAAGATGTGGCTTTTTACAATTTCAGCTTTCCAGCAACTTAGCTTCAGATTCATACAGCATGTAGGGGAAAAAAGTGTGTGTGTTTGTTTGATCATTGATTTTATTTTTCAGCTGTTCATCAGAGGAATTCGGAATACTGGAAGTATAGGAAACTTCAAAAATCTGTCACAAAGACAAAATTTAGAAACTGTGAAAAGTAGTAGAAGCAAAGAGGCAACATTTCTTACAGTGGAAGAGTTTTATTTGATGAGTAAGGCTGTATGCAGAAGTAGGCTTAGAGCCCAGTGGGAATTCATGATTTACAGCCTGTCAGCATCTGCAGACAGACAGGAAGTAAACAGATTGTATATAAGTGCTTGCCTCAATGTTGGCTGACTTTTCATTACACAGACTGCACCAGTTAGAAGCCAATACAAGCACAGATTTGGTTCTTGCTTTGCTTTCTATTAATTCACTAGGCAGTAGTATGACTAAATTAAACACTATCAGAAAAATGCAAAAGCTAGTATGTGTGCTTATATCTTTTCTCTGTACACTTCTAAGATCATTATGGTATTTAGCTTTAATTTTCGTGGTATGTATTTGTTAATGCTCAATATTTTAATGTCCAGGTCTTTATTTAGATAAGTCAGTATAGTTCTGCCTTTGGACTATGGACTTTTCTGCTGCAGAAAAAAATAGAATTTCATTTGTACAAGTAGTTTGCTATGAGAAGTCCACCTGGTGTGATAACTTTTCCAAGCTGAAGTCATTCTCTGAAAAAGGAACTCCGGTGTGGTATTTGCTGGGTCTCCAGATGAAGGAGGAATTGGCAATTTGACTCTGTGTTTTTAGAAGGCTAATTTATTATTTTATGTACTTATATTAAAGAATCCTGTACTAAAACTGTATTAAAGAATAGAGAAAGGATACTTACAGAAAGCTTAACAAGATAATAATTAAAACTTGTGACTGACGTCATAGTCTCAACACACCTGGACTGTGATTGGTCATTAAGTAAAAACAATTCACATGAAGCCAATCAAACATGCACCTCTTGGATAAACAATCTCCAACCACATTCAAAAGCAGCAAAACAGGGAGAAGCAAATCAGATAATTAATGTTTTCATTTTTCTCTGAGGCTTCTCAGCTTCCCTGGAGAAGAAGTCCTGGTGAAAGGATTTTTCAGAAAATATGATAGTGACACTCTGGGTGTTTTTCTGGGGTTTGTTCAGTGTTGGCAGATAAAAAAACCTCAAAAACCAGAAGGGGATTATCGGTAATTAGAAAAATGGGATGCACTTTTAGACTTTTGACTTCTGTCCAAGCTCTGCTGCATGCTGTGAGATACTGACTCAGTCACTTGCCATAAAGCTTTCAAAAGATCTTTCAAAGAGAACCTTGCTCTTCAAGTGCTCTGGTTTGAGTTTATCCATGATGAATTGCATGTATTTTGTATTTTGTTCTAGCTAGAGCTACAAGTGTGTTGCCTGTAAGCAGAGATCTGAAGGCTGTCAAAAATCAATTAGTAGAAACACTCACGACTTCTGAAGAGAAGTGGCCAATTCTCACTTTACTTATCTATAAATTCAGTGCAATAGCTGAAACCAGGAAAGCCCTTAATCCCTTTGCATTTGTATTTCTTCAGAAAATACTAACATAAAATATAAGTTGTTAAGTAATTTGAAAAGGAAAAAAAAAATAAAATAGAATAAAAGTGCAAATGTACTGAACTTGATCATGTCTTGCATGGTATTGCAATTTTTGAGGCCTAGTGTTGTTCATAAATTATTCACCAACATACATGATAACAGACAGAGAAGCTGAAAAAGTACCTGTATTTCCTGTAAATTTGATTGAGAGACTGCATCTAAATTTTTTTCTGTTAATTTGAAATTAGGGCAGTATGGGTTGGTGTATTTTAAACATGTCCATTAGTGTGTGTATCATTGTGTTATTGTACACAAAGTAGAAATTCTTTCTACTGTTTTGTTTTAAAATATATAATACTTTATATGGACTAGTAATTTATTATTTGCATGTTTCCAAAAGGTGTGGGGTGGAACCTCCTGGATTAATTAAATTGGAAAAAGAGATTGAACAAGAGGAAACACTTTCAGCTCCCCTTCCATCTCCTTCACCATCACCCACAAAGTCTCCTGGGAAAAAGAGCACAGGGAAACTGTTGGATGATGCTGTAAGTTGTGGGAGGAACTTCTTCCTGTCTTATTGATTCTGATGCACTCACTTGCAAAACACACACAAGCCTGAGTTTTAACATCTCACTCTATTTTAAACATTCATAACCCTAACCCTAACCCTTTTGACCACAATTATTTATGTCTGAAGCTTAGAAAAAAAAAAAGTCACACTGTGTAGGAGCTCTGCAGCTTAGCTTTGTGCTTAGGGCCACATTCCCTTCTTATTACTCCTTTATTCCTTATTCACCAACTCCCACTTGGTGCTTTGTCTGAGGAAGGACTGAGTCAGGACAAGATTCGGCTCATACTGACTTGTACTGAATGTTAACAAACACTTCTGAGATATTTCAGCCTAATTTTTATGCTGTTCTACGTGATTCTCACATAGTAAAAAACAAGCTTTGTTTTCCTCATTGTTAGAATCTTGCTTTGAATTTCATTAAATTGTTGCAGCATATTGTGTGTTCATGTTTCTGGTGCAAACCCACAGGGGTTCATTTGAAATAGCTGGAATCAGATGAAAAGGACACATTTTGAGACCATGAAGAGGTTAAACTGAAAAAGTACAAACCTAGCCTGTAAAAAGAAGCAGTTACCATAGTAACTACTACATTGCAAGGTAGATGTGCCACCTGGGAGTTACAAAGCACTTCTTGAAAAATCCATGTGCCACTTTCCTGTTACAAAGAGCAGATGGAATATAATGTTCCTTCATTTTATTGAAACACTTTTTTTAAAAAAAATTTGATTACTATAATTACATTTAAAATTCTCTGGTTTGTATTTCTTCCTTAACTTAGCAAAAACGCTTGTGTCTCAACAGAATTGAGAAAGAACAGTTATGTGCAGAGGGAGGCTGGTGGCTGCATATCATGTAGAAATTGAACAGAGAGAATGTAGATTTTCTCTAACCACCTCCTTTAATTTAGAAAGCAGTATGGATAGAAACAGAAGGAATTCATCCAGCTAGAGTCCTGACCTGCACTGCCCCAGACACTCACACCATAAAATAGCAGCAGTTTCTCATATAGTCCAGACTTAAAATAAAATAGAATATAATTCCTCCCTCTGCTTCCTTATTTGATTTCCGAATTCCACTCAATACTTCTGTGTCCTTTGGGACAGTAAGGCAATGGAACCTGCAACAGCAGGATCAGCAGTGAAGATCTTATTATCCTCTGTTTTACACCAGAATAGATTTGTGGCTTTCATTCTCCACAGGCAGAAGATGGGTTTGTTTTGGTCTTACAAAGTTCAAAACAACCTTGATCTTGTTTGGACCCAGTAACTGGGTTTTTTATTCCTTATATGAGCTCTGGTTAGTTTCAAAAGTATAGAAACAATAATTGGTTGCCTTTTAAGTTCTTTTTGGCTTATTTAACATACTATAATTTAATTCTTAAAGCAAATCTGAAAAACATTTAAACTTCAGAAGCCTTATCTATTCATGACAAACAGAACACTCATTGGAGTGCTACAGCTTTGGCCAAGCATTTTTTTCTTTTTATCTAACAATTTAAGATTTTAATTTGTTAGCTATTCTGAAAATATCCTTTCCTGGGCCTCAGACCATTTTTACAGGCCTTGGTTTACAAACTGGGTATGAAAATGTCTTTGGAATATTGTTTGAAGTGGACAGACATCTACAAGTTCCTCTGGTATTTTGCATTGTTTCATGCTGACATACTAGGTATGTATTTTGTCCAAGAAAACCACAGTGTATGGAAATGCTGCACTAATTCTTACTGTTCCTATGCGGAAGTGCAATTTGAATGTCAAGGAAGAGTTTCATAGCCAGACCTGCTCTTTTGGTATTGATACCTTTGCTACTTTCCCATCATTGAAGAGTACAAAATGTACTTTTACTGAATGTCACTGTCTTTGGTAGCACATGTCAGAGCAAGGAGGCCAAAGTCAAGCTGGTGCAGCTAACAATGCGCAGGAAGGTGGTTTTCATCTGTTTTTTCTCAGCCCTTGTTTTTTGGAGTTATGTAGTTAGGTTTGGCAATGATAGTGTTCTTGAGGTCTCTTTAAATTAACTGAGTTTGAACCAGCCCAAACAAGGAGATCATCAACTGGCACTTGAAACTACTGGGGAGTGTCTTGGCATTAATTTTTAATCATGTCACAGTATTTTCTGTATGCTTTTTCCCTAAAGTGTTTGAGCACAGTTTTAAAGAGGCAGAGCCTCTTAATGGTAAGGAAGATTCCTCTGTTTTTTATATATTTAGAAGGCAGGATGAATCTTATGGCATCTTCATTTTGCCTGTTAGCTGTATTAGCACTCTGAGCTGATTCATCATAAAAGTTACAAAAGTTTGGTGTTAAGCTCCATGTAACAAACTGCTTGACTTCAGATAGAGTGCAAATTTGATGCTGGGCTGTGTAACATTTTTAGCTCAGCTACTAAATCTATTGGAAAGCACCACAGGGTGCTTTCTGGGGTTACAGAAATGTTAAGCAAAACCTAGAAAAATATCATCAATTAAGACTTACATTAAATGATACATTAGGACAAGTGTTTTATTGAATGTTTTGCTATCCATGCTATTTTAAACACTTGCTATCAATAACTTCTTGTTTTATAGGTTAAGCACATTTCTGAAGATCCACCTTGTAAATGCCCTAATAAGTTCTGTGTGGAGCGTCTTTCGCAGGGAAGATACAGAGTTGGAGAGAAGATCCTTTTTATTAGGGTAAAGATTTTATTTTCATTTCTTTATTTTTAATTTGTTTTGACTTTACTGCTACCTTCCACTTTGAAAATTACATCACTGATTAACAGGAAAAAATATTTTCTGTTTAACCAGCACTGACTCATTTTTATGACACAGTTGGAGAATAAATAACCTACAGTGTGTTAACTGGCCCAAGGGATTATTAATATAATAAATATCCTTCTGACTTTAGGTCATTGAATTTGTTCTCTCTTTAATCAATTGCAACCAAATGAAAAGTCTTCAGAAATAGACCAGGTGACTTCTCAGTTTGGCTTGAAGGAATATCCCCTGCATTAGAACAGCCTTTCTCCCACTCTGTTTTGACTGATACTGTTTAACAGGTCAGGAAACAGATCAAAGGCTTCATGATCATTGAATTGCCAAGGCATGACTAAGATATATTGCTAAAGCAGCAAGAGCAAACCATTAAAATCCATAGTATGTCATTTGATTAACAGGTATTTCCAAACCCAGAGCTGTATTTCAGACTTTGTATGCAGATTATTAACTCCCACAGCACAAAGTTAATCAGTATCAATATTTGCTAGCATTATTATATGGCTGAATTTAGCACATCTATATTTTCAAAGATTAATTCTTCTGATCCACGTAATCTTCTCTATATATGGCTATGGTAATAATAATTGAAAATATGCTAATCTTGTTATTCTGTAGTTTATGTTAATCTGATTCCTACTACACTTATTCCCATCTTCCTCTCCACATGCACTATTCTTGAGTCAGGACTTGACAAAATGATAGGTCTTGCTCTCAAATAACTGTTATCCCTGTTGTGCTAAAGGCACATAACTGTGACCTGATAAAACTGAGCACTTATAAACAGAAGAGGTCAGAGGGATCCCTTCTTATCTGCAGAAGTCAAGTTCCTGGTTCAACAAAATACCAGAGCTATTATTCAGTCAGAAACTTCTGCTTAACGTAGCTTACAATGAAGTCAGTGAAGCCAGATAAGGGTTTGGGTTTTCTCAGGAGTTTGAAGTTGGGAACATGTAAAGTATTGTCCTGAATAAGTACTGAGAACTCCTAATTAATTCAGTAATAGGTCATAAAGAAGAAGAAATAATGGATTTGTTAAATCTCAGATAGTTTGAGATTCAACGTGCTAGTATAAAGGATTAATAGCTTTTCTGGTTTGTAGCCAGTAAGAGACTGTTCTTAATTCTGCAGTATATTTAGGTAATAGCTTTATTACTAGTTTCATACCACTTTGAAGAAGGTAATGATTATTAACCAAAGACCTCAGTATCTGGCATAGTTTAACATTTACATTTTCTTCCTTTTGGTTTTCATTTTAAAAACATTATCAAAGTATTTTTAATAGTTTTGTTTTGAGAAACTTGAGTTCTGCCAGAATGGTGAGTGTCAAATTCCCTTTTGCTGGCTTCTTTATTATGCAATCTAGTCCAAGCCAGATTTCATTCCAAGTTTGCAAACAAAAATCCCTTTTCATACCACACTGCTGCATTCCAAGTTGAATTGTGCAAAAAAATAACAGTAATATAGATTAGGTATTAAACAGCAGTGTTAAAGATCATTCCTACAAAACTTATATCAGTGGAAACTTGCCATGCATTTCAGTGGGAACAAGTTCATTTTCCTCGGTTTTAAAAGGCAGTTGTCCTTTGGTTCTGGTTGGTTTGAACTTCATTTTGGAACACTTCAATGGATCACAGTAAGTTTTTACTCTTCACTCTACATGTTCTTGAGCACATAACTAGATACATTAGCCTTTCTTTGGAATCCTTTGGACAGTTGTGGAAAAGTACATTTACGCTGTGGAGCTGATTTTTAATTTTGATGGTATTTGGCACCCTATTTGATGCCATGAGGTAGTTCCTCCTGGGCTGCATGTTCTTTACACACAGCATGACACAGCCAAATAAATGCCATTTGTTTACAGCCCAATGGGTTCTAGTTGAATTGAGATCAACAGTTTCATTGTTTTAAGATGGCTTAGTATATCCACTACTGTATTAGCTTTTTCCAGTAACCTCTATAGAATTTAAAACCTCTATCATTTCAGTAATGCCATGTGATAGGAGTTAACTCATATTAATTGATAGCTAAGATTAATTTTTCAGAAATTATTTAATAATAGCTGTATTTTTTTTTTCTAATTCTGCAAGTTCTCTTAGGGAAAAAACCCCAAAACCAGCATTCAAACCAGAAGAGAAAGTGTCCCAAGTTCCTCTTTTTATTAATTTATATCTATATATGAAATAAGTGAACAAGGAATAGAGAAGCAAAATAAAACATGGCAGAGCATAGATTTCATGCAAAATAATCACAGAAACAATGTAGATGTGTCAATTTAAAGTAATTCTAAGGAAAGGAAATCCTCTGGAATATGTAGCAAAAAGTGGTCCTATTAAAATTAGAGTAATTTTTTGTCTTTAAACGTAGGAAAATATTTAAATTCCTAATAGAAGTTTTAAATCCATGAATTAAGGGAAATTACAAAACTTCATAAAAACATGAAGATACTTAAATCTCCTGATAAAATTGCAGTTTTTTATGCATGAAGTATTTCCATAATGCATAAACTGAATGTGATTAAAATAATGCTGTGATGTCTTAGATGTTAAAAATTTATGTTCAATAAAAATTTACCTGCTTGTAGATTCTTTTTCCTTCCTTCCAAGTAGGAACAATTCTAAGTTCCACTTCCACACAAAATATGAAAGACATGTTTTACATTAATGGATTATATTTAATAAATTGAAATAAATTACTAGCTTAAAATGAAACCAGTTTCAATTTTAAATTGAAAAATTTTATTTTTCAATTTAAAATTGAACCATTGGTTTACAGTTAGCAGGATCTCTCTGTGTGTGCAACATAAAATTAATAATTTGCTTTTCCACTCTCCTACCATCCTATCATTCTGCCTTAATCTTTCAGAATGGAACTGAATGAATAAACCTGTTTTTAAAAATAAAGAATAACGAGTCATGAAAACTTGTACAAATGTTTGGTTTATAAATTGGGAAAGAGAGTCACAGAGTTTGAAGTCCTTGCTTCTTGCAGAAGGCAGCAAAGTAGAGATGTTTATAGTAAGAAAAAGGACTTTAACAGGCTCAGTGACAAGAATTCTGTTTTCAATGTTCTCATGTTGCATTGGATATGCATTAGTATGAAAATTTCTCAGAAACTCACCAGCTTCTCTCAGGAAGATCTGTCATTTTGGTCCATACCTCTGATGACATTCAGATTGTTGGGAAATTGTCTCTAGTGCAGCTGGAGTCACATTAGATGATGTAATGGCTCCTGATTTTGAAGCTTCTTATTTTTCCTGTAACATACAGATGTTCTCTCTCTTGTAGCCCAGTTGATAAGTACATGATTGCTCTTAAATATTTGACCTTGAATCCTTAATAATTAATAACATGTAAGATTATTTTTCTATAGTAATAATAAAATGTTTATTTAATACTTTCTTCTTCTAAATCCCAGGAAAGGAAAGGTGTTATTTACCTGCTACAGCACCTGTGTAGAAACTTTATTTTCAGATTCACTAATATAATATATGTGTAATATATATGTTTATATATATATATACATATATAAATCATTCTGCAGTCAGTCTAGTATGCACTATTGCCTCTTCCTTGTGAGATAAATGTACTTGTGTATAAATATAGAAGTAGATTTCACTCAAAACCATCCAGGTAGGGATGATGTATCATATACCATAGAAGAACTGGAAAGAAGGAGAAATAGAAAGCAGATTGATTATACACATCTCAAGACTCAAATGTTTTGCTCTGCGTTTCCAGTTCAAATGCATAAGTTGTACTCACAGCTTTTGTATTGTGTGTTTCTGTCTTTTGTTTTTCCTTCACATAATTTTCCTAGCTTTTTTTCTTCCTTATTCCAAAGATTTTCAAAGTTTTTCTGCTTTTCCCTGGCCTATTCCCTTCCAATCTGGGAAAGAGTTTATGTTTTTAGTAGTGGAAATCCTTTCCTGAGCTTTATTCCAGGGTGTTTAAAATGTCCCAATCATGGGCACATCAGGAGTTTTAATTACCCTAACTCCAAAGGAGATACAGTGGGATGCCTTGGGTCTTGTGAGTGAATTCTGAAAACACCTCTTGGGCCTCAGGACAGCAACAGTCATTGGTCTCTGGGCTTCTCATCTCAGTCTTCTTTGTGTTAATAGCCAGCTGCAGTAATTCCCAACTGGAGACTGCAAAAGTGCTGGAAAAAGGCATGTCTGAAGTGCAGCTCTAGTTTATGCCCAGATACAAGGTGGTTTTGGAGGCCTTTCAGCTGGACACTTCTTTACTCTGTGCTAGTTCCTCTCCAACAGCTTCACAATCATAGAAAAGATGACATTTCAGTCCTACTTAGGCTATTGAAGGTGGAATTCTTCTCAGCCTTCTCAGGTTTCATTTATTGTTTAAAAAAAAAAAAAAAAAAAAAAAAAGAAGAAGTCCTTAAAGGGCCAGTAAAATGCACTCCACAAGACTCAAAAGCTCTTGGACAAACAGTGATCCTGGAGGTGTCAGTGGGGTGGCTGGCATTGAGTGCTGCCTATAGACCTGTCAGGAAATCCATTTTGTTCTGTACTCTATCATTAATCTATTGAGATTAGGCAGAATTCTGCTCTGCCCCAGCTTAAGTTGCAGCTTGCTTGTTCTTTTTGTTACCCTTTCTCTCCTGCCTCTCCCTTTATTCTTTATTTTTTTCCCCTTCCTGCCTGCAGCTTTTCTTATTTAGGCCTGGATGCCTCCATGGAGCCAGAAGCCCATGGACATCTCTCTCTTCACTTTGTACCTGATGGTGCTGTTTTTGCACTGAATAAAAAAGCAGCTACAGCTCCACTATCTGGTTCTTTGAAGAACTGACATTTTTAGTGAAGTAGTTGACTGATTCTCACTGAGGGTTATCAAAACCCATTAAGTATGAGAAATTAAATACTTTTTTTTTTCTCCTCTTGATTTAATTTTCTACCT